ATTTTTGAAAGAGCGAGAATACAAGCAGGGGAAAGGGAAAGAGAGAGGGAGACAGAATCCGAAGCAGGCTCCAGGCTCCGAGATGTCCACAAAGAGCCCGACATGGGGCTCGAACCCACAAATTGGAGATCGTGACCCGAGCCGAAGTCGGACGCTTAACCGACTGAGCCACCCAGGTGTCTTTTAACCTTGGGTGCACATTAGCCACAAAGATACTTTGATACCATCCTTCAAGATTCTGATTTAACTGGCTTTTAAAGGCCTGGGTGCCTGTCTTTCCAAAAAGTTCCCCAAATTATTCCAGCTTCCAACCTGTGGTGGCGGCTCCCAAACTTCAGCCTCCATCAGAATCTCCTGGAGGACCTGTTAAAACTGATTCACCCAAAACCATTATTACACCTCATGTTTGGATTTAAATAAAATTAAATTAAAAAAAACTTTCTGATTCAGATCTGCAGAGGGACACGGAATTTCTGATTCCCAGGCGCTGCTGATCCTGCTCACCCAGAACCACACCGGAAGGATCACTAGATTTTTAAGCTCAATCTAAATGGAGAACATGAGGTACACAGAGGTCACCTGTTCAAAGTCAGCCACATAGCCAGTCAAGGGAGAGCTGGGACAGGGGTGGTAGTTGTGTGTGGCTCTTAGCCAGTGCTGGTTTTACGTAGAGAGGCGAGAAGCGGGTGGTTTGTCCATTTCTCAATGTGCGCAGTAAGGTCACGACGGCTGCCCAGTTCTGGTGCCTGTGCTCTTAACCGCTGCTCTGTTAGCCACATCTGAAAGCAGGCGGCCAAAGTCACGGCCTGTATATACTCTTTCTCCAAACTCAAGCCAGACACTGATTTCACCCAAGCAGCCTTTGAAACTGGGGCCAAAACCTTTTAATTCTGAGAAAAATAAAGGCTCGTTTCCAAAGGACTGACACATGACAGATGTGTACACAAAGTTTTTTGAGTTTTATTTGTTCCTTGGGTTGGAGATTCATCTTCACATGCATGCATTTTTAAACAGTAACAGTGTCTCGAACTGTTCCGAGCAGACATTAGACAAGCACAAGGGGTTGAAAATTCCTATTTAAAAAATGGAGAGTGCGGTGAGAACCGAGAAGTGACACACACGTGAAGGGGTCGTATTTATCCTGCTCCCCCAAAAGCTGAATCTCAGCTTCATTCACATTTTTTGATTACAATGATTTGACCTGATGTTGAGGTGTGCTGAGCGGCACCGGCCTCCCCCTAAAGGCTGTTTGTTGGTTCACAACTCACAAAATAGCTCTGAGCGAGGGGGAAGGAACTCCTCTGGAAGTTTCCTCCCCAGCCTCTGAAGGATCTCGGCACAACTCGCTGGGGACAGCTGAGTCTCCCCTTCCCTCTGGAGGCACTCTTCGTACGTGGCACATCTCAGAGGAAAGCTAGGCAGTCACTGCCCCTGCAGGTGGCTGGTAGGTTTGGGGGCAGTTGCTCGGATGTGTTTTCCCTTTGATTTATGTGCTCAGGCTGGACCCCCGCCCCCCCATTTCTGCCAGAAAGAAGTGAGGTCCCTAGACTTGGGGGAGCCATATAAGGCCAGAGCTGTAAGGGCCATTTAAACACACTGTCCCTTCTGGCCCCTAACACTCGAGTAGCTCAGGTGCTAGGGAGTGCTGAAGTTTTTTTCCCTCCCAACTTGAATTGGTAAGACAATTGGGGGGGGTGGGGATTGGCTACTGAGAGAAGTCCTGTGTCTTTGGTCCACCTCCCCAGGGCAGACCCTGGCAGACTGAAGAGGGAAAGTCAACTAGGGCAGGAGTCTAGTCCCAAGCCCTGAGCGCTACCAGGGGACCTGTTTGAGGCCTAAAGCACAGGCGAGAGAAACAGTAGGAGTTGGGAGAGGGGAGGGAGAGCTGCCTGTGGTGGGAACTTAGAAGGTGCCACTGAGAACAGCCACAGGAGCGACTCGTGGCACCCGCCACAGACCAGTAACCCCTGAGCTAGATAAGGAGAGATGGAGCGCTGCTTCAGTCTGCTCCCAGAACTGCTGGCTTCCCAGCCCGCCCTGTACTCCCAAACCGCAGGGCACAGGGAAGGAGCTTGCACTGGGGGGGGGGGGGGGGGGGGACAACAAAGACTCAGTGGTTCACTAACAGGAACAAGGGCCAGAGGCCTTCATCTAGTGGTCTACGCGGAGTCTTCAGAGGACCAGCCTGGGTTTCTCAGCCCCAGACTCTCAGGACGGGTGAAGCTGCGACTGGCTAGGTGGTCAAGGTGGGGGGAATGGAGAGGAATCCTGCCCTGACCCCCATCCCGGGCTTCACCCAGTCCGTCACGTCCTATCCTTACACCTGGTTCTTAGGAGACCCCCAAATTATTCTAGGGTGCCGTGGGACAGCTGAGCTTTTCTTCAGGGCTCCAGAGAGGAAGGCTGAGGGTAGTCCTTTGCTCTCGGATGCCTTCTGCAGGGAGAGCGGGAAGGTGGGGCTCTGAGAAAGGAGTGGGGGCAGACAAAGGCTTGGCCATCAGTTCACTTTCTCCACATTCAGACCACAAACCAAACACATCGGCATCATTACAGAAAGAAGAGAAAGAAAACTGGCATAAACCAAGATAAATAGCTTTTAAACATTTGAATGCCAAAGGAATTAGAGGGCCAAACCCAAGGTTTTGAAGATAGCACAGAGAATGACCTTTTAAAAAAATCTAAAGTCCACCCGACCACAGCTCAAATGTTTTGACCCAAACAACAATACTGTCAAAAAAAAAAAAAAAAAAAAAAAGCATTTGAAACAGAATGCTACTCTCAAAATGTAAACAATATACAAAAAAAAAAAAACCCCAAAAACCCCACAAAAAACACAAAACTCAATGTTAAAGAAGTTAGATACCTGGTAGCTCATTTTTAACCGATGGATTGTGTTACACTTTTCACACACATGATGGCAACATAATCAGCAGACCAAAGGCAGGAAGCCGGTGGGAGCCCAAGGCTGTGGCCTCTGCTGGAGGACAGCCCGCCAAGCTCAGAAGATGCGGGCCTCCCGAGGGACAGATCCAAATTTCCATTCTTGATTAGGAGGTGGGGAAATCAAGTCCAAACATCGTTCCTACGTAATCCCGTCCTAAGTCAGATCTGTTTTCTCCGTGAGCCACTTGGTTCCAAGTTCTTCCCCAAGTCACTTCATGGCCTTGCTGCTGCTGATCATTCAGAGCTGCCTACGGCCCCTTCCTGGGCCGGGGGGCGGTTGTCTGACCTATTCGCCTCTTCCAGAACAGTTCCAGCAGCCTCACTGGAGTCCAAGAATGCTGCCTCCATTCCCCCCTCACCTAAACGCTGCAGGTAGGGCACGGAGGCGGTGGTTCCTGCTCCAGAAGCTGAACTTGGCCAGGTTTGGAGGGAGCCACAGGAAACCAATCCATCCATTTGAAATGTTTCCATAAACTTTCATCGCACCTGTGGGGTTATCTACAAAAGTTTTACCATAGATCATCCCAAATCCCCAGTTCCGGGTGAGGGGGTGAGAAGGTGCAGGAATGTACCTCCCCCAACACAGGGCTCTTCTCTCTGAGCCAGACCAGACTGCTCTGATGGCATCACAGAATGACACCCGGCTCAGTTCTGAGGCCTGGGTAGCTCAGCAGGTGGGTGGGGACCCTGCACGAAGCTGCAGGAAGCCACTCCCGAAGCACCCCTGGGGTGGCAGATCTGCTCAGAGTTAAGACGGGGGCATCAAGGAAAACAGCCCCAAAGCTGGGCCAGGTCGAATCCCGTTTCAGGCCTCCACATTGGATTTCCTGGGTCACATCTTCAAGTGACTCCGCGGCAAGCTCAGGCTTGGGTGCCACACTCCACGGTGGGGGGCAGCACTCCCTGATGGCCAAAACCGTCCAGGGGGACAGACCACAGGCACCGGGCATCAGATTATCTACATGGTGGCCCTGGGGCTTGAGGAGGCCTCTCTGCAAGGAGCATCCCAGGCACGTGGAGGTCTCCCCCAGCTAAAAGCTCAACTACAAGGGAGGGTGCGTGGGAGAAGGTCAGGAGGAAGTCAATGGATGGAGGGCACAAGGCCTCACTGGATACTCATCAGGTTCTGGGGGTTTCCCAAGGGGAAATAACCATCGAAGCATGAAGGCTCCTGCTGTACCTAAAGATGCTTTCTAGTTCCTCTTGACCAACGGGAGGCAGGCTTTAGACAGAGGACATCTGAACTCCAGCAGCCAAAGGAGCTCAGAGGCGTGGGTGATGATCGCAGGGTTCTGTGAGAACCAGCTGTCCAAGAGCCCAGCCGCTACCCCCACCCCTCACCATCCCATGAGGATGAACTCACGCCCCTGTGAGATCTCTGATTCTGATCCAAGATGCCTGCTGTTGATTTGGAGGACAGCATTTAGATGGAGGAATCAGGTAACATTTCACTTGGATCCAAGGTGAAAAGGTGGAGGAAGTTTGTGCACAATACTCCATAAAATGAAAAAGTTAATCCAGACAAGATCAAATGCAGCAGGACTGAAGTGTCTGACCTCTCCTCTGCCATCAGAGCACTTGGCCCTGAGAGGCCCCTTGGCCGGGTCCATGGGGGTGCCTCTTTCACTGAAGGGAACCGAGAGCAGGGCAGGGATGGGGAGGGTGATGGGGTGATGACACACATCATTATAAATAGCAAACCTGGAGCAATGAGATTTCAGAAACAAAACCCACATAAACCCACAAAGTCATCTCTAGCCCCAACGTATTGTTAAAAAGGTTACAAGGGAACAAAAAGGAAACCCCTTTTCAACCTGGGTCAAATGGGGGAAAGATCAAGGCTACACCCTGTGGGTACGTGCTCACACAGCACATCCCCTCCTCCCCAGCTAGAGTCTTTCAATGTCACAGGCTGCAGTCTCATCACTGAAGCCCTCCCCTCCCCCTACACTGCTCCCCACGCTCCCCACCCTCCCATCTAGCCCAAATACACCCTCTCCCTTTTCTGGCCCGACCCCACATCCGGCTCTCCGGCTCTGGCTGAAGGTAGAAGGTAACTACGTCAGGATGTTGGACATGAACTCGTTGAAGCGTTTGGAGTACTGCTCAGGGTTCACAGTCGAGATCTCGGCCCCCGCCTGTAACACACAGAGGCTGACTCAGGTCGAGCTCCCTGGCCCTGAGAGCCTACAGCCGGGAGGAGCCTGGGTATCCGGAAGTCTCTGGCCCAGCGTTTGAACTGAATGCTGTACCCCCGCCTGGGCAGGCCCTCGAGGAGCAGTTCCCGTCTCAGAACCACCGTGGCCTTGCTCCTTTGACTTACAAGCCCCCGCCTGAACCCACTGAGTAGCGGCAAGGCGGTGGGGAGGTGGTGGAGAGACTGGATCTCTGGGCGGGGTCTGTGTTTGGAGACAGTAACTTCAAGTCCATGGGGAAAAGGGCCTCTGGGGAGCAGCGTGGGCGTGTACACAGAGCTATTCCCTGCAGGCAACAGGACGCACAACTTGCCCAGCAGCTCTGGGAACGGAACCGATAAGCTGAGAAGTAGGGGCCACTGGGCCGGGCAGATCAGCTGGTGGGGAGAGCACAGGGGTGGGTGGCAGGGAGAACCGGGAGGCTGGGAGGGGGCCTGCTCCCTGTGGGGGCGGGGTAGGGAGCGGCTCAGAGCAGGAGGCCCAAGGCTGCCCGCCCCGGGCCTCGACGTGGCAGGGAGGACTCACCCCGTGCTTCACTGTTTTGGCAGCGTGCGCGGCTTTCTTCTTAGCATCATATGGCGTGAGGATGTCGATGATGGCCATGAAATAGACCTCTTTCTTGGGGGCACCTGCAGGGGAGGGAAGCAGGAAAGGAAGAAGAGGCGGCAGGGAGGAGGGCAGTAAGCAGCTGGCCCCGTGGCCAGACAGACGCGGCTCCCACTTACTTTCATGGCTTTTCATGGCATAGACGTCAACAGAGGGGTCGAACTCCCCAGGACCAAAGAAGCGGGGGAAGCTGAGGAGGTTGCCGGGGCTGTCCGGAGGCGTGCCGTAGGAGCACAGCAGGTTGCCACCCAGCCCGTCATTCTCGCACTCCTCGTCCTCTGCCCGCTCCTCCACCTCCATCTCCTCCTGCTCCGCCCGGTCCACGTCGTGGATGCCCACCAGCAGGCTGTAGTCCATGATCTTCAGCTGGGCCAGGAACTAGGGAGGGTGAGGAGGGAGAGATGGGAGGGAGAGGTTACAGGGACACCCCTGGAAAGAGGAGAAAAGGCACTCCCTTCAAGTCCATTCTCCGATTCTGAGCCCTGGGTGAGAATAAAACATCAGTCTCCGCCTTCAGTGAGCTCAGTGCCCAGTGGGGAAGACGGCTGTCCCTCGAGGGACGAGGCCGTCCCTCAAGGGAAGTAGCTGCGGGAGCCAGGGCAGCAAGGAGAGGGGCCTCTCTGGGGAGAGGAGCCCAGGCGGCCTGACGGAGGAGGAGCAGACAGGCAGGCAGAAGCTGCGGGAGGACGTAGAACACTGAGGGAAGAGGAAACCGCCCGAGAGACGCTGTGGTGAGTCCCAGCGAAGAAAGGAGTCCCACACTGCACGGAGGCTGGAGAGGTGGGTGTGACGGGGCAGTGGCTTTCAAGCCACAGGTCTCAACCCACTGGGAGCCAGAAATCTAATTTAGTTGGCTGGGACTGGGCAGTTTTTATTATTAAATACTACGGAACAGGATAGAAAACATATGTAACACGACGTAGGCAGGCGGTGTTTCAGTTGTGCGTGTTGGGCTGTGAGGTAAAATGTACTTCTAATTGAGGGGCACAGGCAAAGCTTGAAAAACTATGTAATTCAGCTTCTTTAACAGTCAGGATGAAAATGAGGAGGAAAAGAAAAGGGAACAAACACCCCATAAGAAAGCCAGAGCCGGGGCGCCTGCCTGGGTGGCTCTATTGGTTAAGTGTCGGACTTTGGCTCAGGTCACTATCTCACAGCTGATGAGTTTGAGCCCCGCATCCGGCTCTGAGCTGTCAGCTCAGAGCCTGGAGCCTGCTTCAGATTCTGTCTCCGTCTCTCTCTGCCCCTGCCCCGCTCATTCTCTCTCTCTCTTTCTCTGTCTCAAATTAAAAAAATTTTAAAAATAAAAAAAAAAAAAAAAAA